AAAAAAAAAAAAAAAAAAAAAAAAAAAAAAAAAAAAAAAAAACGTTTATATATATACATATATACTTCGTATTATATTATACATATCTCGATGAAATACTTTTAAATGAATAATGACGATCATATTTCTTATTTATGGAAATCGTCATTAAATATATCGACAAAAACACAAGAAAAACAACTTTCAAATTCATTGCATTTATTAAACAAAAATCGTAGAAAATCAATTATTCCTTCATCACATTTACCGGTCAAAGTACCTAAATCATTCCCAATGGATATTGAACAAGATAATTCATTAAATAAAAATTATTCATTAGAAGAAACAGAACAACAATCTCAACCCAGTACTAATACTGCTTTAACAAGTCAATCAAATAACAATTATGATAACAATGATTTATTACAGATGGACAAAAGTGAAAATATTATTCACAAAGAAGAAACTGATGATGAAAATAGTTTTGATTCATTTATTATACAAAATTTTACATAATTTTCTGGTGAACAAGATGTTAATCTATGGTTACCTGAAACAGAGGAAAAATTTCATCGATTTTTGATTCCAAGGAATTTACGTTTCACGGCAATTCCATTATTAGTGAAAGGACCCGCAAAAAAGGTTTACATATTAAATAGACGAAACATTCAATCTTTTGAAGACTTTTATGAAATATTATTATTACACTTCGATAAAATTGTCACTCCATCAGCATTGACTGATCAACAGGACAGTGTTTTTTCACAATCCAGTTTACTTCATCAAGTTAAATCGTCAGAAGATAAAAATTTACAAACAATGATGACATTCCATAATACTATTTTTTCTGAAAAACCTCCAAAGCATCATTCTACTGCATTGAATGATTTCGGTGCCGCCACTTCGAATGGCGAGATACCAGCCTTTCAATCAACAGTAGTTAATGACAATAATACTATCAATCATAGTACAACAACCTTTGATGATACAACAAACGCAATTCGTAAAGTTCTACTACAAAATTTAATAAAAAATCCAAAAACTTTCCAAGGTGGCAAAGATGATGTTATGAAATGGTTAGAAGACATTGAACATTTATTTGATGTAGCGCATATTTCTGATACAAATAAATTGGATTTAATATCCTATTCACTTCGAGGTGAAGCCCT